TGGTGGAGACCAAAACAAGAGATAAAAGATAAAGAAAATATTGGATTTACATTCATTAGACGGACAAAATAATAATAATAGGTTGAGGTTTAGTGTGTCTTGGAGATGTTTGGACAGACATCACTGAATGCAACTTTGTAAATCTCACATTTTCATGGTCTTTAAATCATTTTTTGACTAACAGGAATATTGTTTTCTGGCCTCGCTTTAAAATGTTACGGGGAAAATCTGCATTTTGGTATGAGGTTCCCCGGTTTAGACAAACCCTGCTTTATGTGTATGTTGCCTCTAAACATGGAACACATTGGAAGTTGGGGACTCGAAGATACAACGGATGGAAACCAACAAACAGATCAGTGTGTGTGTGTGTGTGTGTGTGTGTGTGTGTGTGTGTGTGTGTGTGTGTGTGTGTGTGTGTGTGTGTGTGTGTGTGTGTGTGTGTGTGTGTGTGTGTGTGTGTGTGTGTGTGTGTGTGTGTGTGTGTGTGTGTGTGTGTGTGCATGTGTGTGTGTGTGTGTGTGTGTGTGTGTGTGTTTTAAAACACGAGTTTATTAAATCACACTAAAGCTGCCAGTGCGGCTGGAACTTATAAGAGTTGATCTGTGTTTTTTTATTTGTCCCAGATGTTTGACAACTTCCAGTCATAACTTGTATTTCTCTAACAGAACATAATAAATGGTATATAATTGTATATTGAATTTAAAAACTCCAGAATTTTTATATTTTTCTTCCAATTTGTGCTTCCTTAAAAGGGAAACAGTTGATTTATGGACTTGGATGTTTCATTTTGGAAAAAAATCCTAAACTGGATACATTTTTATAATTTTCCTAGTAAAAAATATTAAACCTTCAGCTACAAAATATTATTAGCAATATATGTCGTCTGAAAAGGATTAGTTGAAATATGTCAGAAAACATATTTAAAGTATTAATATCTAAAAAGCTTTCAATCCCAAATTGACTGTCCTTTTAATTAAGAGATCAAAATCAGACAATAGAGCCAATTCTAATTGTGTTTAAGGCTGTACTACATCTCATGAACCCCCTTACGACTACTCGAGCCACCAACCAAACTCTATGCCATTTTGGAGGTATTTAATGAAGCACTAAAAGAAGGACTACTCTGTCTGTAAAAACAGTTTGATAACACTTTCAATGTCTCTGGGGCATTTTGCCAAGTCTGAAAGGGAAGAAACCCTGATGATGTCATAACTGACATGATCAGGCTTTCTTTTTTGGTGGGAGATGACCCATATGAGGGACTAAGGCTGCTTTGAGTTTTATCTACAGTATATGTTAAACATCACACAAGTCCCCCAACTTCATGGAAGTGGAACTAACACTTTAAAAAAGAAATTCACCAAATTGTATAACTTATTTATTAATATAAACATTTGTTTTAATTTGATTTCTCTACAATATGAAGGCAATTAAATAAGCCTATGATTCAAAATCACACTATTCCTATAAAAAACTTTACCATTTCGGTATTTTGCAGAACAATAAAATTGATCTTGAATCTATTATGTTATTGCATCCAAAATTACAGAAAGTCGGACTTGGCTGAAATAGCCTATACTTATTTATTTAATATGCAATCTTAAATGAAATAGAATAAAGAAATAAATATTTGAAAAAAACATTGCAGTTACCGAAAGAAGCTTAAATAGAGAGATTAAATCGTCATTACGACAAATGTGTTTAGTCGTTTTGATCTTATATGGACAATTATTATTAATATTATTACTATTATTATTAGTGTAAATAATAATCAAGGTTGACAGGTGACACATGGGAGAGAGAGTGTGTGAGACTGCTTTATCTGCACCCCCATACAGACACCCCCCATACACACACACACACACACACACACACACACACACACACACACACACACACACACACACACACACACACACACACACACACACACACACACGCACACACACACCCCAGAGACCTCATACGGCCGTGTTGGGATGATAAATAGCGGGCCGGTGGCCGGTGGATCGATTCCCCTCCTCTCCCTGTCCTCCCAGAATCCCCCCCCCCCCCCCCCCCCCCCCCTCACTCTGTCCCCTTCTCTCTCTCACACACGCACACACTCTTCCGCAAACACAAAACTATATACGGCAATTAATTCCTGCTTGTCCCACCATCCCTCATCGGCCCTGCCGGCGCGTATCGACGCAGATTACTGCTGATGGTCCGTTTTATCACCGCGGAATATACAGCGAGGAGCGCTCATATAGACACACACACACGCACACACACACACACACACACACACACACACACACACACACACACACACACACACACACACACACACACACACACACACACACACACACACACACACACACACACACACACACACTGATGTTTAGGATCGCGGCTGCCTGAAACCAAAAACAGCGACACTCACTTCATAAAAAAGTTTCGATACAGATGTCACAGCGTGAACCTATGACCTTATATTATAGGGTTATTATAGGAGGAGAATTATAGCAGTATATAAGCTTGTTGACACCGCTGTAGCAGGATAAACGCATATATTATAAATATTCAGAATATGTTTACCAATCCCCTCTAAATGCCGCGGTAGATCAAATTAAATACACAAACGAGTTTAAAAGAACTACAGTCGACTCAAAGCTCCAATAGAAATAGTTCACATAGGCTATTATTGGAAAACAATATATCAATACGATGATATAGCCCACAGTCATCTTTAATAGAGGCTATTATAGGCCTGACGCACTATTTAAAGAGAGAAGCCTGACATGCAACACAAGGCACTTTAATATTATTGAGATATTAAACGAATCGTTTAAAAGCTGTATTTATATATTTAAAAAATCCCATGATGTTAAACAAACCGTACATTGACGCGACACACTGAACTATAGCGTATACTTTAAAAAAAAACAATGGTGATGCAACAATAAATTCCCTAAGGAAACGTGACGGAAATATCATAATTTCGTGAGTGTAAAACCGAATTAAAAAAACATGTATAAAGCTCATAAAACGACAGCTATAGGCCATGGATTCGCATCTAAGGAAGTTATGTTGGTGTTGATTAAAGGCCAGTTATTATATTAATGGAGAAAGAAACGTAGGCTAATCAACATTGAACATTAACAAAAACAATTATTGGAGTATTAGCCTACATTGTTACACTAATATAGGCTATCGTAAGTCAAATATAAACGGGCACAAAAAGTAAAATGTTAAGCTTCTAAAACACGACTTTTAAACATTAAAGAGTGCCAACTTACAGACACGAGACTTCACTTTGATCTTCTCCACGTGCACAGCGGGAAGTGGGGACTTCGGCTCAAACCGGGAGTGTTCGGTGCCGTGAAACCGGACACACCCGCTGAGGGGAGACTTAACGTGTGTAACGGGACATGCTGAGTTAACTAATCAAACGCACCTCCGTGTCGCAGCTTTGAAACATGAAAGCGATGGTGTGTGTCTGTGTGTGTGTGTGTGCGTTTGATTGTATGTGTGTGTGCGTGGACAGATATTGACAGAGCGCCCGTGATGCATGAAAAACGCACGCGCACACACAAAGCGGAGATCAGAGTAATAAAATAAGTTTGATCAATTCACGCGGAATAAAGAAAACAGTGTTTTTATTATTTTACTGCGGAGTTGAAAACTGAAAATAACAGAGTAAAACATTTTAAGAAAAGTAGTCTTAACTGTTTCAGAAAATAATGAAAAATAAAAACGAAAATAAAAATACATGAACTTAATAAACTGAACGCAGTTTACTATTTTTTTTAAAACGCGAAAAAGTGAAATAATACGTAAATATTTATTAATCAATCTCTTTCATTTTAATTTAAGTCAAATTAATAATTATCCCACATGTTCTCCATAACAGAACGAAAAAGTTAAAAGACTATGTAAAGGTAGACAGGTCTAAAACCCGATGATTATTTAAATGAAATCTAAATAAAGTGTGCTTAATATTGACTGTGCTGCAGGCCTGCTGCTGCTGTCTGAGGGTTTGAACCCCAGGGCAGACTGCTGCTGACCTCTGACCTCTGAACCCCCCACACACACCCTCCTCCTACTGTCCAACACTGCAGCTGTCTAACCAACTGTAACATCCCAAAAACACACACTACAACTAATGACCAAATGAATGTCCTATTACAGCTTTATGTATTGTATTTTACTCTGGTGAAAATTGTTTTAAAGTGGGAACAATATATTAAAAACATTTTTTTTCTTAATGATTTATTTCTGTTAGGTGCAATGAAGGCTTGAGTAAGTTTTGGTGGAGCCTGGAATAGATACATGTTTTAGAAGTATTGTGAATAGTGTTGTTAATGCTTAATAAAATATTATATAAAGTAATTATGAATTTACAGCTGCTTTGACCAAAACTTAACATAGCTTGTCGGGAAATTATCATTTTAAATTATGTTTTTGTAGTTGAAAAATAATTAAAACAGCTTAGTTAAAGTTCAATAAACCATAACAAACTGAAAATAAATTAAGAACTATGTAGAAATATATTACAACAATGATGTAGTTATAAAAATACTTTAAAACACTGTCTGAAATGACAACAACGCAATTGATTACCACTACCAACTATTATTGGAATATTACAGAAATACTCAAATAAAAAATAATATAAATATTTCTGTTGCTTTATTATAGTACATTTATATAATTGTGTAAATAAGAATCAAACGTCACAAGGTACCAACTCACTGCTGAACATGACAGAGAACAATATAAAACTATGTGGGAATATTATTTACTATATGAATATATTACAGGAACTTGAGGAGATAAATATAGTGACAAAAGGTCAAAAGTCACGGCTGATCACCAGGGACACAATCCATGACCTTTTGGGAATATTATCTGAGGATTAAGGAATATAAAAGCGTAACCACACGTGTGTGTGTGTGTGTGTGTGTGTGTGTGTGTGTGTGTGTGTGTGTGTGTGTGTGTGTGTGTGTACGTACGGTTGTTGACCTCTCCTGTGTGGTTGCTCAGAGGGATGATCTCCATCCTCTGCTGTCCGTACAGGTAGTAGTCCAGCTCCTCTGACGTGAGCTTGAACCTGGCCGACGCTCCTTTTCCGCCCTCCTCTCCTCCACAGCTGCTCTTCACACTGGATGACACCACCCCAACCCCCCCGCAGCTCAGCTCTTTGGCCTGATGGAGAAGCCCCGCCATCGGATTGTGACCCTGCCGGTTCTCCGGGGGCACCACCATCATGAGGTCTCCTCCTCCTCCTCCTGGTCCTCCACACACCGGGGCCAACGCCTGCCCAAAGAGTGCGATCTGCTGGGGGACGGGTAGCTGGGAGATCCCCGCCGAGTTGGAGATGGAGATGGAGGAGGACGGGGTGAGAGCTGCTCCAGCTGCTGAAGACGAAGACGTTGAGGAGGCCGTAGAAGAAGAAGAGGAGGTGCAGTGCGAAGAGGCCAGGAGGTGGCTGTGCAGGCGGGACTGGCGCAGGCTGTCCATGGGCATGGAGAGGCGGTCAGGTGGAGGCAGGGGGGCCAGAGGAGCCTTCAGCTGCGCCTGAGGGAAGAGCTGCTGCCAGTGCTGCAGGTAGGACGGGTCCACCTTCAGGAAGGCCGAGCCGCTGGGCTCACCTGGCTTCAGCATGGCTGCTGGGGGGGGGGGGGGGGGGGGGGAGCAGAGGGGAGGAGGTGTCAATCATTGTTAAAGAGGTCAGGGCAGGATGTAGACATGTACGGGACACACAGCGGATCAAATCTATTCACGGTGGATTTAAGGAAGTGAACACAACACTGTGTCAAGTTCGGGACGCAGAAAAATGAACATCTTGATATACCAAGTTTTTTAGGGTGAGAGATTTATCACATTTGAGACAAATATATCACATACATCTCTGTATTTACAAATTAAAATCACATTTTCAGACTTTATAGGATAAATAAAAATGTGTGTTAGCATTAAATGTACTCCCAAGGTGTGAAGCTCATGCTGAGCATATTTACGGCCTCATCACTCACATTAAATTCTCATTGTGGGGTGCTGAGCCACATCGCACAGGTCTCCACCTGATTTGAAGGGTTTGACCTCAGGATTAAAAAGGAGCACCTCAGCCAATTTGTTTCATCCTGAACCACATAGAGTTTGTGTGAAATCTGCAACATGAACACATGAGACGCAGAATTTGAACATGCACATACATCTTTATTCTCCTGAGTCTGGTCATGTGGTTATGTTGTTGTGTCAATTTGAGACATTTGGTGGATCATAAATGAAAATCTAAATACATGATAGATATGAATAATGAATCACTGTTAATTGTAATACATTGACATTTTTAAGTGGAGCAAATTAAATCCAAACAAAAGCCTCAATATTTAAAGTGATTATTTGGTGCATGAGCCTAATTATAAAGGTTTCTTAATTTCTATAGAATTGTATGCATTTAGCGCAGTCTGGTTTCACATAGTTTCCTTACTGTTAATGACCTTGACTCTCAAACATATGCTTCAAACTGAGCTAAAAAGGATCAAATTAGAAGTAGAAATCTAACTTTAAATGTAAATGTTGGTAAAAAAAGGACCAATACAGTATGTAGCCCCTATGTTGACATTATGTTAACGTTTCCAGTAGTTCTAAACTGTTTATTAGGTCTGATAGCCTACTCTTCATTTTAACAGCCTGCAGGATTTCACTTCAACTGAGTATCAACTTTCATATGTTTCTGATTAAAATAAATACATTTGAATATTTTTGGTAAATAGTTTAGTATACAGTATGTTTCTATTTGAGTTTAAGATGTGCAGACAGGTTGTTTCAGTTCTCTCTGACACTATTGTTTTACCTCTATGATAAACGTGTATAAATAAAGTTACATTTGCCCCTATTTATATATTTAAAAGCTGTAATAAATATGGTACATTTGATCACATTTAAGCATCAGAATTACTAATTCTAGCAGAAAAAGTATTTCATAAAATGATCTTATAACTTTAATACTTTCGTGAGTATATTTCATTTCACATTATCACATCTCTAAATCTATTTTCTATTCTACCCATTATGCCAAAAATAATTACCAGAAAAGTATATTGGCGAACGCTATTTCTCAGACATACAATGTGTATAAGCTCTATAGCCAACAAATCACTGTGTAAACTGACTTTAGTCTGGTTCACCCTCCGCTTCAGCCTGCTCTGCTCCGCTGTCTCGGTCTCGGATGGATGTTTCAGCGCCGATTTTACGCACGCCAAGCGCAAAAAACGCACCAAATAAAAGCAATAAAACCATTCACGCGCACTCACGCACACTTCGGATAAGTTTACGCTGGTAACCACGCAGAGCACAAAAGTTTCATCAGAATAAATAAATAGGTCCGGTTAAGTCCAGGTCAGATCGGCGGTCCGGCGTGCTGTCCGTGGCCGAATAGAGGCAGTGGTGGGCGGGTAGAGAGGTGGGAACGTTCCGCTGGGTTTCCCCGGAGTTTCTCGGGATGTTATGTGAAAGTTGTTGAAGCGCAGATGAGGCTTACTGCGGTCAGGGTGTCTGCGTCTCCTTTGCGCTGATTTCCGGGCAGCGGTGGAAGGTTGTTCCCTCCTCCGGGCTGCGGTGAACCATCGATGGGAGCCGGGACACTTCGTTGCGTCCTGCGCGTCTCCGGAGCCAAAACTACCGAAGCGACTGCTGCGCGAGGCTCTCTCTCCCTCCCTCCCTCCTTCTCTCTCTTCCATTCACTTGCCCTTTACCCTCCCCTTATCTCCTACAGTCCCCCCACCCCTCTAATTCACACGTATTATTTCTCCCTCAGTCTCTTTCTCTACTCTCACTCTTTCCTTTCTCCTCTTTTCTTTTCCCCATCTTCTTTTTTCCTGTGTTCCTTTTCTCAAGTCTCAGCCTTCCCCTTCGCTTTTCTGTTTCTTCTCCTGTACAGATACAGCTCAGTTACATTTGATTTGAATGATGTGTATTGACGCTATATGATCAGATCAACACACATAACCTGTGTGTTACTCTATGTACCACAGTAATCCATCTACAGGTTGATTAGACTGTAACATGTAATGTATGGGCTTTGCAGTTCTTGAACAGTAGTTCTGTGTTGTCTTTATGTTTGTATTGTATATCTTATATTGATCTACGCTTATTCAAAGGATAAAGATACTGTCTGTCCGCACATTATTGAATAGCATAGGCTAAAGAGACATAAGGAACTTGTCTTTCATTTTAGTTTTCAATGAGTCAGTAGTGCTGTTTTGTTTTTTTTTATCAAAGAAAAACAATCTTTTTACCAGTTTTGCATTCCTCTTACAGACCAGAAGAAGGAATCAACAATTTCACCTCCTGGGCCCTGCCGTGGTGCCCTTGAGCAAGGCACCGAACAACCCCCCCCACCCCATCACTTAAGTGATAAACCATAGAATGTAAGCCATTACTTTCTTAAAAGTTTCTAATAAATTGGTCTATGGTGGCCGACAGGTGCAAACGCGCTACAATGGCCCAAAACATTTTCATGTGGAAAAACGCGCTGCACAAAGGTTTTTCAGAAAGACTACCTAAAAACATTTTAATTAATACTCTGCAGCCTTTTAACATGTTATAGGGTCCTGTGTTAATTTAATTATTTGGTACGGTAGCCAACAGGGGCAAACATGTTACGGCCCAAAACATTTCTATAAGGAGAAACGGGCTGCATGTAAAAAAAACTATGCAAATATAAATACACAAATGTGCCAAAACACATGCAAATGAAGAAACATCTTCACCAACTTGACAACACATGCGCAGAGTTTACTAAAACGAAACCCTGTAAGTTCAAAATGCTACAAGAAGCTCAAAACACCATGGAAACAGGGACAGTAAAAAGTGATGCACACAGCTGGGACCGGAGAACTGTTAACATTTAGGGATTATAAATTTGGCTAGTAAGCAGTCTCATTAATCACTGTAATTTAGTTTGTCCAACATAACCAACAATGACCAACCTCTTTGCTAATTCCCTTATCATACTTCATGTTAAATGGTCTCTTCTCATTTTTGGACTAGCATTCACCATTCACAAACACTCAAAGCCCCTCTCACACAAGCAATTAACCCTGAAATGATATAGACATAGACGTATGTGAGAATGCAACTGTCCAATCCATTGGACTGGACACTAAAGAAACTTTAACCTACCAGGTCATTACTGCTTAGGTGACTTGATGTCCAATTCAGTCCGTCTGTGAACAGAGCCGTTAATGCCCAGAGAATTCAGTGCCAGCAAGTAGGTGTGTTGATCAAAATTCCTTTGTGGCTGACACAAAACATAAAGAAAAGAAACAAAGAAAAGAGGGATGTTTACAGGAAGACTGTATGAAATTGACTTAAATTGAAATTGAAGAGATGATTCGGGAATTCTTATCAGTAAAAGCCAACAAATCCAAGGAACGACAAGAGAGAGAGAGGTTGTTCATGACCAAACAATGACTGGCTATAGCGACCGCAGTGAAATCCACTGCTGGTCTTGCGTCTTGCAAATCCAGGCACTTCTCCTCGCCTGAACCAAATGGAGTATTTCCAGTCATTCAGAATGTTTCTGATCAAAAATAGTTTTATTAAGTGATTTAGAATGTTTCTGACACGGAAAGTCCCCTGTCAAGTGAAAGCGATACTCCGGACAATGTGCAGTCCTGATTCTCTGGATATTGTCTGGAGTTTATTTTGAAAATGGCTCCAGAAGTAAGCAGGCTAAAAAGGAAGTTGCCGGCCTAACCATGGGCGGCAATTTGGGTTCAGTGAAAGGCCCCAGGACGCTTCGACACGCCGACACGAGCAGCCAAGAACTCAAGTGGATAACTCACTCTACCGGCTAAGCCATAACGAGATAGCCCCTGTGTTGATAAGTCAACAACATAGTCATTCATGACTTGGCCCAGCGCCATATAGCAGACTGTAAGATAGACCCCAACCAATCGGCTTCTTACACAACTTCAAAAAGGATGGGTAAGGGGTCAGGGATCTACTATAATTCCTTCTACTTACCAACTTGAGCGCAAAAGAGCCTGCAAGTCTGTACGCTGTGAGGAGCCCTAGATCCTGCCGTTTTGTTGGCTACCACTACGACACTATACATAGAATAAAACAAATAGCAACTGACTTGTTTCATCCATACGTCTCTCGGGCAGAGCATAATCAGGCAGATATCATGGGGTCATAAAGGTCAAACCAAAAAGTGCCATGGCAAAAGTCATCCACACATCCTTGCAAAATTCAAGTTTCTTGATAAAGGGATTACTTTCTGTGATAATTGATGAGATACTGTGCTTGGCAAGTGTATACGTGCTAGCCAGCCACAAAGTTATTGAAGAGTGGAATAAATACAGACTTGTTTGCCAACATTTACCTCATTTATTAGCTTGGAAAAGCTTTTTTTAAGTAAATTACGTTATGTGAAATAGCAGTTTATTCTTTTACATATCAAACAAGATGGTGTCACACCAGCTAATAAGTCACGACATCCTTCGTCCGATTTTGACTCAATATCCCTCAAACGTCATAACGGTCAGAATGGTTTGCTTTCTGAAGTCGAACAAATTTTGAATTTGAGTATAATTTGAAATTACTCTGATTATTTGAATGTCCAGCACACACAAACAGAAATGTATGTAATT